TACCCTCAACATTCTAGACATGTTAATTTCTTGTCAAGAACAGGATAAAATCACACTGACACATCTGACATGCTTGTATCATATAACTCTTGACCCACTTCTCTCTTGCTTTCCTTTTCTCTAGATCACAGCATGGCCACATGGCTTGCTCAACATCTTAACTATTTTAATATGTCCATGTAATTCCACGATTATGTTGAGGACTTAGAGATCTCAAATTTCAACTTTTATGAGTGTGATATTAGAACAAAGTTTAAATCTTCGCTTCCCCAATGTAACTAAACTAAAGCAAAATTTTTGCAATATAGAGAAGAGCCCGTACATGCACAGGATGTATTTGTACACGAAAGATACATGATAGATGGGAATTTACTAAACATAGAATTAGAGGTGCCATTTGGAATTGATGTTATTTACCTGGCTTTGGAGTTTGTTACATGCTGAAACAAAGTGTTTAGGCCCAGCAAGATATCCAAGTCGCCAACCAGTCATTGCAAAAGACTACACATAGCACCCTTAAATGTCAAATCCTCAATGTTCCTAGCTAGGTTGTCTTACAACCTCAATGAAATTAGACACGGATACCAATTAACTACGGGATAACGTTCAATCTAAATTTCAGTAGAAGCAATTAATTGTACCTTGGAAAATCCATTAACTGTCAATGTTCTCTCCCACATGCCTGGCAAAGAAGCAAAGCTAGTGTGAGTTGCTGGTGAATAAATTATGTGTTCATATATTTCATCCGATAGCACCTGAAGAAAAAAACACAAAAAAAATGTTCAGAACTTAAGAGTTAAGTGGAGTACAGGACCTAAGAGCTCAAGTTCAGGAATTATACCAGAAGCCTGGGATGCTTTGCCACAACCTGTGCAATTTCTTCAAGCAATTTCTTGGGATAAACAGATCCAGTAGGGTTGGATGGAGAACAAAGAATCAAAAGTCTCGATTTTTCACTGAGTTTGGATTCAAGATGTTCTGGGTCCAACAAAAAGTTCTCCGAGATAAGTGTTGGAAGTATAACAGGCGTTGCATCTGCGAGCCTTGCAATTTCTGGGTAACTCACCCAATATGGAGCAGGAATTATAACCTGAAGGATAAAGAGTGTTTTTTGTACATGTAAGCCACCTCTATCAGTAAAGGAACTAGTGAGAACCTACATCACCAGCATCCTTAATCTACACTTCTCAGAGTACGCCATATTTAAGTGAAATATAACCAACAATAAATGTCTACATTTCCAAGCAGGAAAAGAAGATCTTGTTTCCACAATAAAAGAGAGTTGTTAAGCTTGCCATTGTTACATGTCATCTTCCTTCGCATATTGGTCATCTTGTTGACTCCATGCCATTTCATAATGAGATAATGAAGGTTATGATTGCTTTTTCTCTCAGCTCTGTTGTTTTTCTATTTTAGGAGCAAGGTGATTGCAGAAATTGTTAAGCATTAAATGATAGCTGATTACAACTGCCAATGCAGATACGTTAACGTATCCATTGTCAACTAAAGAACTTCTGCACCAATAACTCACCTCATCTCCAGGGGAACAAACCGCAAGCACTGCTTGCAGTATACTCTGTTTAGCTCCATTGCTAACCAAAATTTGATCTGGTGTATACAAGATTCCATTTTCCTCTGCAACAATTGAGAGAATAAAAAAGAAATAGTAAACTTTTCATTCTTATCTAAAGAATACTAATTGTATCAATTGAGTCTTAAAGGTACCATATAAGCTTACCTTTCAGCTTATTACATATTGCTGACCGGAGTTCAATAGTACCTGCATTTGGAGTGTACCTCGTGTAACCTTCACGAATTGCATTTATTCCAGCCTTAAATAACAACATTAGATAACAAATAAAATACTTGCACACAGTGGAATAACTAGAGAAAGCAAGAACAGACAACAGAAATTGATAACTCAGAATACTAAACGTAAGAAATACCTGAGCTATAACAGCTGGTGTGTCAAAATCAGGTTCTCCAGCAGCTAACCTGATCACTGGGACACCAGCTTGTGCAAGAGCAGTTGCCTGGTCAGTTATAGCCACTGTCTTTGAAGGCTTTACAGAATTAACTCTCGGACTAAGAGAGATATCAACTTCCATTTGGTCAAACCCACTACTCTCTGCCTTTGATACTGCACTTATTCTAGACAATGGTGCTGGTGTAGTAGTGTCACAAGATCTATCAATACATCCACAGTTACAAGCTAAAGTGCATGTCTGAATGCATGGACGGATGAAGCATTGAATAAAAGACAGTCAACATCTATTGCTCCATTAGAAAGGTATATAATGATAGTTAAACATATAGAAGAAGGGTTCAATTTGAACATTCCACAGTACTCAATTTCGCACAATGTTTGAGAAATAATAAGGCAACAGGATAAGGCAACAGAATAGCAATTTCATCTATTCACACATTTGCCAACAGTAGAAGGAGAAAAATGCATTATTCCAAACAATACAAGAGAGATTCATGCAGGGATTAATCAAAACATTTGAGGTAGCTGTGCCGCTTCAACAACACTAGAAGTATAGTGATGTACATAACCAATCACAATGTAATTTACCTACATGATCATATTAGAGCAAGCTGAGCACCAGTGATTGCCATAAGAAAAGAGTGATGGCAGCATCAGGGTCTTCAGTAGCTGCATGCAACACTACTTTTCTAGAGAGAACCACAATGATAATGGTCACTGAGAAAATGTAACCAAACTAGCTCTAGTTTGGTTCCGTCCCGTCTTAGTTAACCAACTCTAAACTTACACCCTAATTGGCAAATAAATAGTCATCCAGAAAATTATCATGACCATATAAACCGTACAGTTAGTGATCTCTAAAACGGACAGTTTGCAAAGATCCCATTTAACTTTCATGTAGAACCTAAGCTAAGTAGCCAGTTCTGGCTTACATTAGCAAAATCCTCTATCCTAATCACGTTTGTTAATATAAATCAACACCATATGTTAACCTCAAAAATGGGTCAGCTTGCAAATATCCCAATTAAGTTTCATGTGACAAACCCACTTGTGCTTTAGATTAGAAATTTCAATATACTAATCACTTATGTTAATCTACAATAACACTTAACCTTTTGGGTAAAAGGTTAGAAATT